TCTGTAAGACGCAAACTTCTTCTGGGAATTCCCATCACCTCCTTCAAATTCATGGACGTCTTGACTTTCCAACTTTTCATCAAGTTTGCCATCATCTGCTGTCATTGCACAATTGTCACGGACACAAGATATAGTTTCTCCAGGACTCAAATGATTCAAGGCTCCATTTTGTGAATCATTTGAAACTTCAATCGGTTTTTCATTCACCCGCTTTGCAAATAAAGAAGTACCAGTATCAACATTATCATCTAAATCAGCCACTTCCATCACAATTTTATTGACACTGTCAACAGTATCAGATTTCTCCAATTGTTCAGTTTCACTCATTGTTAATTGATTTGAAGAAGCGTCCTCATTTTCCTGAACCTCTATTCTGCTAGCAGTCCCATCAAGAACACTTTGAGCCACAGGAGTAGGGGCCTCAACAGCCTCCTCAAACTTCTCGTCATCCTCGATGGTAACTTCAACTGCCTCCTCAAACTTTTCATCATCATCTATCAATTCTAATTCCTTCTCATCCTGCAAATAGCTGATAACACTATCCACATTTTCAGCCTTCCTGCCTTCACTAGCTAGTTTATCACTAACCTCCAAACCAACACTGGGTGTCTCCACTGCAATTCCCTCAGGATAAGCTTCATTTACATTCAAATCAACAGTCATCTTCTCTTCTACAGGTTGCTCCCATGTGTCACCCTTAACACCATTTGCCTCCATCAAGTGAGACTCATCTAGAACCTTGATGTTACTATCCATGGGAGATATGAATCTTCAAACCCCCAGATTCACACGAGTACTGCATCAATAATTCAACAAATGAACAATAAAAATCATAAAAAACTAACCCTACTCCATCAAAGTGAGCAAATAAGTAACATAAACACCGGAGAATTTCAATATAGAATGCAGAGACAAAGCTAATCCCAAATCATTAGGCAATTGACCTTACCTAGGGTTTTGCGAGGATAAAAAAAACACCGAACCGAATGCATACATGAGCACTAGCAGTCAAGTATTAATGGCAGAAATACTTACAAGTATGTCGAAATGAAGTATGGATTGAGGCTTAGGAGTGCTTTGGCGGGTGGTAGTAGAAGCGAGAATTCTGGAGAAGACGATATTTACTAATATCGCTAGAGAAATATCGAACGACGGCACAGTAGGTGGAAAAGAGGATCAGGGTGCAGTGATCCAACGGTGGAAATATGTTGCCTCGATTTTCAACTTCAACTCTCAAGCATCGGGAATTAGAGTATCCGCATCAATGCATCATCCGATCATCGTAGTACTGCTCCTTTATTTTCTTTTTTTTTATTATTTCATGTCTCGTTTAAAAGTTTTAATTTTTTTTGGAAGACGTTTAAAAGTTTTCATAAAATGTGGTTTAGATAATAATTAAATAAAATAATTTGGTTATATTTTGAGAATAACTCAATAGATACTATCTCCGTATCACTAATATTGGGACATGAGGAGTAACGCAGTTATTGAAAAAGAATATTTTATCAAGTTGATATTGAATTGATAAAGTAAATATAAAATTAAAATGATTTAGAGTCATACAAACTTTGTCAAATTAATATGGGAGAATTTTAGTAGGGTTTTTCGAAAGGAAAAAAGAAAGAACAATCTTAATGGTGATAATTGTTGTGTATGCAGTTACTCTCCCATTGATTTGTAAATGGAGAATGTTTTTCTTTTGTAAACGGATAATGCATGTTTTGTTGTTCTAAACCCTAATAATTAAGATTGTTTTAACTAGTAATTTGTTCCAGATCAGATCAGACCAGATTTGGATGGTTATAAAAATACAAAGAGATCACACCCGACCAAACCAGTTCAGACCAGACCAGACCAGTAAATTACAGTCCATGTAAAAACATCCTAATATATACGGAGCAGCTATTAAAATTTAGAAAGGAATTATTTGAAATTATTTTTTATTAGAAACAATTAAGTTTTTAAATATTGAAAATAAATAGAAATAAATAACTTTATTATAATGTTTAAACTTGTGCTACGTATAATTTAATGAATATTTTCATTTAAACTTGGATATAAAGAAATGTTGGATATAATGAGGACTAGTGTGGAACCCAGGGCATGCCCCGGTAGTGTTAATTTGATATAAGTTCAGATGAGAAGTATCAATAAACATTGTGAACTAATCAATTTATAGGATATGATCAAAAGTGTTGAGTATTATTAATTATCTTTGATTATTATAGATTATGTCTATTTGTAGTTTTAAAAAGTTGAAATTTTGTCCAATTTGGTCTGATTTATTTAACTCTGAACTGATCTAATTTAATCTGATCTAGTTAATCAATCCAATTCAAACCAGGCTATTTTTTTTTTATAAAACAATAGATGCTTTAGAGTCTGTTTGGTGATCTTGCTTTCGGCTTATCCATCTTACCAACAAACTTTTTCATCGAGCACGTAACTTTTGAATTTGCGCGTTGAGTTGTGTAATAATTAAAATAAGTAAAGTTGGAACTACTTTTCTGAAGTTATTCAAAAGGACTATTTTAACTATTTTTATATAATTTTATCTTTTATTTTATTAATAAATATATATTTTTTAAATATAATTTTTTCATAACTCAGCAGAATCAACCAATCCAACTAGTCAACCACTTCTGCCAAAACTTAATAAATTTCAGTAGAATCAGCCGACTGAGCCAATTTCAGTATTACCAAACAGGCTCTTAGTAGTAGTGATGCACCGAGTGAACTTGGATTAATTAAATGTTTTAGCAGTAGTGATAATAGATTTTTTATTAATATAAAATTTATATTATATATTTTTATGAACCGGCTAATACATCATTGATTTATAATTTAGTTATAAATAGATAAAAAAAACTTTTTTATTTTTATATATGCAATATTGGTGTCACATGAAAGAAAAATTATCTTTCACTCTTCTTTCATGGTGTTAGTTGCTCAACTTAATTAAGAAATAGCAAGTTTCATAAAAATCTTTAGGGGTAGTCTATTTTGTTTTTATTTTGGGAAATAATAATTAAATTATGAATAAGATATGGATCTTTTTTATATGAATCAAATCCAAGTAAATTAAAATTTTGAGTATTAATGATGTTTTTAATGTTTTTGGACTGTTTTCACTCCCAGACCAAACCAAATCAGATCAGACTAGATCAGACATGGGCGGATATAAAATACAAAAAAAAATCAGTCATTTACCAGACCATTTCTGACCAGTTCTGACTAGGCGAGACCAGAAAATTTCAGTCCAAGTAAACATCCTAAATGCTTAAATTTATCCATTTTAATTAATAGTTAAATTAAAAATAAACTTTAACCTTAGGATGTTCGCACCAATTAATCAAACGTATTGCAATTCTATGTTTGTATTAAGGTTATGCACATTTAGATTTAATTTGTAATTTATTCATGTTCTATATTAATTTTATATGTTTCATCATTTGCGTATATAGAGTTCATGAATGTTTGGTTGTTTTTCATAAGTAAATACGTATAAATAATGAGTTTATATCAAAGAGCTGCAAAGTATACTATACATAGATGGAAATGTTACATTCAGCTTTAGATAAGATTTATCATAAACTTTGAATTATTAATTAATGGTAGATTCTATGGTAGGTACGGTACCCCAATTTTTAAAAGGGTACCGGAGTTGTCACCTAATTTTATTTGGTCGAAATGATCATTCAAATTAAAACAACTTCAAATTTCTAACACATTATTTGTTCACATGGCATCCGTAATTTGTGCAAAATTATGGCAATATAAATCTATTAAGGGAAGGATCAACCATGTACTTAGAGTTAATTTAAATTCAAAAATCACAAGTATATTACAAAAAAGTTTATTTTATGTACAAATCATTTCATATGAGAAACTAGAATGATCACTATATTGATGTAGTTTAGATCTTTCCAACAAGAAAAAGGTTATATAGAATAATGTAACAAAAAATTTAAAAAAAAAATGAAGCCATGATTGGAACCCTTGTTCGGGCTGTGTGCATCTCTCATTGTCATTCCTTTTCAGTCTAAAAAAGTACATCTGTACCCAAAAGGGCACTCCCCTCCGTTTCAACTTAACACGGCGCTTGAGAGGAGTTTCTACATCAATGGAAATTCAAATCCGCATAAATTCTTTGCATCCCCCTTTATAGTTGTTTTCATCAGCCTTCACAAACGTCCCAACCTGATTACCAATGATTTGAGCAACTGCCTCCGTAAAGAGCTCGAACGGAAGATCAAAAACCTGCACCCAAAACTCCATTCAGTCTAGAGGGACACTGATGGGATTCTCCGTTGCTTCCAGCTTGTGAAGAATTAGTAGAGAATTCTCAAAGCACCACGGTCCATCAATCAGCACTCGTTCGAGATCAAAGTCATTAAAAAACTGGAATAGAAATCGGCGGTCCCCTACCTCCCGAATATTAACTCCACCTGCAGGGCGCCAAACGTCCGTCATCGTGTCCCTGAAGAAAGGGAACTTAAGAGCCTTATCTGATAACAGACGACCGACAAGGCAAAGAGGGACTGGTGTCGGCAATGCTTCTGGTAAGACCACGTCGAGGTCTACTCCTTCATCATCTTCGTCCTGGAGACTCATACGAGCGTACAAATCTTCCATGTTGTCTGCCATGCACACGATTCTCGACCAAAAGACGTCGAGAGAGAAACACGTAATTGGAAATCGGCGGAGCAAACCCTAGAATTCTAGGGAGAGAAACACAAACGCCTTAATTGAATTTTTACTATTGCTATTACGCAACTTGTCTAATTGTTACGGAGTATTACGCAACTTGTTCAATTCGTAAAGTTCAGTTCTTAATAATTGAGTTCTTCTTTTAGCAACTTGTTCAATTCGTAAAGTTCAGTTCTTAATAATTGAGTTCTTTCTTTTAGCAATTGGCTTGATTTTTGCTCCTTATGTAGTGTTCTTCTAAGATCTAAGGTAAGTAAATATTTTGTTCTATGTTGAGTAAATGTGGTTTTTTTTTGGAAAAAAAAAAAAGCTTAGCACAGAGCTTAACAGTCTATGAATCCATGATATAAATGTATCAATCGACCTCATACCAACCAGAAACAAGCAATATAGCCATGAAATAATGATTCTACTCGCAGGTCTACCAAAATTGACTCAAATTCTTCCAATCACAAGGAAATAAAAGGCAAATATGATGTGTATGTATATTAAGTAGAGAAAAACAGAAACCATGCAGAGTAGCCAAATACATCCATCATAGACAGGCTCAACTTTTAGTGTTGCTCATTCTCCTGCTCTATGAAAGGTTCACTGCATTCATGTTCTGCATCTCCAGCTTCTTCCACAGATTTGTCCACATTTCCATTGCCACTGCATTCAGGATTAGATTAATAAGATTAATCACCAAGCCTCTCTCACACAATTATGTTAAAATTCAATCCTTTACTTACTAAAAAAATCAATTACAAAATACAGTATTTAGAAAAGAATAAAAAAATTATAATGCGCTTCACTCAGATTAAGTAGAGTGATGGGTACTTGATTAAACAGTGGCTCATCTTGCAGAATAATTTAAAACATAAATTAGTACATGTTCTCTTAATTCATTTAAGGAAACTAATATATAAAAAAGGTTTTGGCTGGTTTTATATTCATATCAGCAAAACAAGTCGATTCAACACTACTTTTTCATTTTAACTAATTTGAACAAATGCATTTAAGGGCATTTAAGGATGCATAGACTAGACCAGACCAGACCAAACCAGACTTTGATAGTTATAAAATACATATAGACTACACATGTGCCACATCAGACCAATTCAAATCAGACCAAAAAGATTCAGTCCAATTAAAAACATCCCATGTAAGTCGGTAAGTTGATGTTTGGTATAAGTGAAATAGGCTGATCAGGCTACTAAATTTATAAAAATGCAACCAAATGGCTAAGACCTAAGACTCATAAGAATATGGAAAAATAAATCAAATGGTTGTTCTAAAGAGACTGCAATTTATAAAAATGCAACCAAATGGCTAAGTAAGACCTAAGACTCATAAGAATATGGAAAAATAAATCAAATGGAAAAATAAGATGTCTAAATTGCGTCAAGTAGTAATCTTAGGCCACACCACAGCGGCATAAATCTTTTAATGATGAAAATTCAAATCTTAATATTACACTATGATGAGCCATTCGGCCACATTAAGAGCCCGTTTGGTAGCACCAAAATCGGCTGTTTTGGCTGATTCTGCTGAAATTTATGATATTCTGGCTGGAGTGGCTGTTTTGGCTGATTTAAGAAAAAAATATTTTAAAAATATATTTTATTAATAAATTAAAGAAAAAATTATTTGTAAAAATAGCTAAAATGGTCCTCTACAGTAACTTCAGCCAATACAGCCAGAAAAGTAACTCAAACCTTACTTTTTCGGCTTATTACACAATTCAGCGCGCGAAAGTAAAAGTTACGTGTTTGGTGAAAAAGCTGGCTGATAAGCCTGATAAGCCGAAAACAGAGTTCTCCAAACGGGCTCTAAGTCTTAACATGTACACCGATTTTGAAAGTGGTCTAATCTAACAAGCCTCCATCTTTTGTGACATGCAGTCATCACACATTGGCCAAATACATCAAATACAAATGATAAACCTCATATAAAGCCTTGGACACTTTTTGATATAATACCTTAATTATTTACTTAGAATTAAAATTATTGTAAAAAATACTACTCTCTCCGTCCCACTAAGATTACCCCATATTTTCTTTTCGGTCTGTCCCACTAAGATTCATACTTTATCAATTCAATATCAACCACTAAAACTTATTTTTCCTAATAACCATGCCACCTTCTCATGTCCCAATGTTAGTGGGACGGAGGTAGTATAAGATTGTTGAATACAAATTAGATGATTGCTGAATTTAAATAATATACTATTTCTTAGAAGATTGTTACATCCAAATTAGAGTCATTTTAGTTGGAGCACAATACTATGGATGTACGTAGTAAAGCTTAAAAAAGATCAGTTGCAGGCTGGAAGCAACAAAAAAAAAGTATCTCCCACATTACAACATGACAGTATACTGTCAAAACAAACTGGGTCAAACATTGGAGCACGTGCTTGGAGAGATTTGTAGAGAACTATGTTTGAGAGGCATAATTTCTTAATCTCTGAGAGAAAACAAAGATGCAGACATGCTAATACAACTATAATTGGTATACAAGTATTACATAAACTCACACACAGTAGCAAGATTACAGTTAAACCCACAGAAGCTAATAATAGCATATTATTAGTTGAATTTATAAACTACAATCAGAACCTAGAAGAATACTTACAAATGCATGAGCTAATTATTAGCTGCTTTTAGGGAAAACCAGACATATTGTTAGAAGCAACGATGGAACACAACAAAATGGTAAGTAGTCACAAGATGGATAAAACTGGTAGTAGTAGTAGTAATAATAATAATAATGATAATACTCCGTAATGATTAATGAATCAACAAAAAAATAAGGAATGCATGCTGCACTACCTGGAAGGTCGAGCATCATCTACTACCTCAGGCCTCCTCCAACTCTTCTCAATTCTTCCCTCAGGAGAGTAGGAACGTCCGCTGCTGCTCCCAAAGCTCTTCTTCCTGGATAAAGAAGAATCAGCAACCTCATTGACCTTTAAAGACTCCAGCTTTTGGTCAATCTCCTTCCAGTCCTGTCCCTTCTCCTTTAACACCTCTTCCCTGGGCCTAGCTTCCCCAAAAGGATTAGACCCGCCCTTGGGTTTTGCTGAAGTAGCATTTCCATTCTGCTGCCCCTCGGCTACGGGCAGTGTCCTCGGCTGCAAATTCAACCTAGGCCTCACACTCCCTCCGCTCCCTTCCTCCACTTTCTTTCCCCAGTGATCCGAATCGTTATCATTAGCACCACGCCTTCTATCTCTTAAACTATCAAAAGCGCCGCCTTCAGATTTGAATCTCCACCCCTCCTCTTCTTTCTTCTTTGCCCAATTGTCTGAGTGGTCGCTTCCTCCGCCGTTAGATTCGAAACTGCCTCTCCTGTCGAACCTTCTGCCCTCCGAGGGAAGGAAACTTTTGTTGGCGCCCCAATTATCAGAGCCATCAGCCCTAGACTGCGAATCGGAGAAAAATCCCACCTTTTCTCCTCTGTCCCTTCTCTCGAAACCGTTACCTGCTGTGAATTTCTTGCCTGCTCCCCAGTCATCAGTCTCGTCAGCGCGAGAAGGACCGAAATCCCGATCGGATTCCCTCTGCCTACGCGGCTCGTCGCGAGCAGGCCTGTCGTATGAAGATCCGTACGATCTGAAACCGCCGCCGAGCCTGGACCGGTCGAGTTCCTCGGCAGTCCGCTCGCGAGGACCGGTGGGAAGAGCCTTGATCTCCTCGTGGGTAAGGCCGACGGATTGGGTTTGTTTGCCGGATCCGTAAGCGGAAAACTCCTGCAAGGAAAGGGTCTGGGGCTTCTTCTTCTTGGTCTTGGTGGCGGCAGCAGTTGACAGGGAAGGGAAGTCCGAGAGAGCCGAATCGTTTCCTGCTTTGTTGATCAAATCCTGCTTTGCCTGACGAAGAAGCTCTGCATCGTTCTCCTCGGAATCTAAAGCCCAATCGCCAGGCTTTGCCCAAGGGCTCACTGTTGCCGCCATGTTTGTTTCTTCTATATCTGTATCCGTAGGTTTTGCGGGTTGCGAATGGTGTGTGATTAAATGCGTAATTGAGAAGCGAAGAGATTGGGTTTATATTATACCAATGGGAATCGCTGATTTAGCCTAAACGGTTCGGACCAGCAGAATGGACGGTGGGGATTAGTGTTGCCGCTATTTCCTTAATCTGGAGGGATTGGGGCACTTGCCAATTGTCATCCTACCTTCCTATGGGCTGGGATTGGGATCCTCTGCTGCACGGCAGAGTGCCTTGCGCGCAGAGGACCGTCGGATGAGGGAAAGCGGCCTCGAGATCTGCGCTTCAACATCTCCGACCGTCCATCTTTTGATCGGATGGTTCCCGAGGGCCTGGCACCGTGCCTTACTTTGAAGTATGGCAGAGGTTCCGGATCCTATGGGCTGTGGCAAGGCAACAGAAAAGTCCTTAAGAAAAAATAAGCTTATTTATTACCACACCTCATTCCCTTAAAACTTTGACAAAGTTGACCGACACGGAAAATAATAAAGTAAAAACTGTGTTGTTGAGATTTGTGCAGAGAAGAGAAATAACAGAAACCACAAAATATTGATTAAAAGGGAAAGTGACAAAGTTTTTTGGAACGTCCCAAAAAATAAAGTTTACAAAGTTTTAAGGGACAGAGGGAGTATTACTCTGTAAGTGATACTAGTAAGAGATAAAAGTAAGATTTTTGTGGTCATTTAATGATTTTAATCAATAGGCCTCTCTCGGGGTAAAAGTAAGATTTTTGTGGTCATTCAATGATTCCAATCAATAGGCCTCTCTCTAGGGAATCTGTTGGATATTGTAGCATCACATCCTCTTTCCGTTGATCTACATACAATCATAAGTTCTTTGTGTCTTTAGTCTTGACAAACAAGCATTTAAACTTTGGAACAATAGGCAAGTATGACAGCAGCTTAGCTATAAGGCCATTTATGTGCTATGAACATTAGTCTTCACCTTATATCGTGATGTTCCACATCTTGAACATTGTTGTAAATTCTTATACTCCTTGTACAACACGCAATCATTAAAATAAGTGTAACAAGTGTGTATTGTCACAAGTCCTAACCTCATGGGATACAAAAGTTTCTTAGCTTGATAGGAAGCGTGTCTTTCAAAACTTTCAACAAATCTGTAAAACTCTTGTCACTCAACCTATTTTTCACTTTAAGTTTGAATAATTTCAATATTGCAATAGTCGAGTATACTTTATGCAACTTTCATATAAAGTTTCTCAATATTCTTTTACACAATCGAAGACATGTGGCATGTATGTGAAATTAGCATCTACATCATGCATCATCTCATCTAATCGATCATTTTCATCACTGTGATTTTGATTTAAGCAATCTATATGACATTCATGGTGATTGATGGCACTACCCATTTCCCTTTCAAAGTGAGATATCCACTTAGTATAATTCATTGAAAACCTATTACAGAAAAAATGTTCACGCAAAAGTTCTCTTGATACCTTACACATATTAACCGGCCGTGGTTAATATGTGTAACAGTTCACATATTTTTCAGCGGATATGTTATATAAATCGACCTCGAATCGAGTCATTTGGAATTCTCTACAATAAGTTACATAAATATGTGAACGGTTCACATATTTTTCATAACGTCATCCTCTTGATCCAAAAAGCCGTTCATCGCAATGTTTTGTGCTCTAACTCTCATTCTAAAGTAATTGTCTTATTTTTTCTTCTTTTTTTAAACAAGTACTTATAAATACTTATGTTAAACACAAGTAATATAACGGCTATCAGAGGTCGATCTCAAGACTTGAACTCGTGGGTCACGGTCACCTAACATGCAACATCTCAACCGGTGCGTGAAGGCTCCCTTTCAACATTGACATGTAATATTTAATAAAATTAGTTAATGGGTAAGATATAAAGCAAATTAACCTAATCATTTCAATGTTTGAGCTATTTTATTTTCTTTTATAAAATACTTAAGTTAAAAGTATAAGTAGTGGATTTAATTAAAACAGGAGAAAGGACATTTAGACCTTTTTAGAAGTTCCATTTTAATTTTAACTTTCATATTAATTTATATTTAAAGTTATTTATTTAATAAACTTTCTAATATTAAGTTTCGTATTGACACATGTTGGGATATTAGGCTCCGGCTCAGTAACCCGGGCCAAAATATCCTTAAGGCCAGGAAAACAGCAGCAAAGCACAATGGATATCAAGCGGATATGGGGATCCCGAGCGGGGTCTCAACCCACTAAACATGAACCGTTCGGTCGTTCCCGAATGGGCCAAGTTACATACTTGAAGGGTAACAAGCATCCTTCTTAGCTACTAATTGCATCAGTCTAAAGTACTGATCGAGGAAGCCTTGCAAGTGGCAGGGACGCATTTAGTGCAAGAGTATGGGCACTCAAGTGGAGGCATGGGTTTGCAAGTGGCAAGGGAGTCAGCCATTGAGAGCTTGCCACGTCAATACGTCATCCATCTCACCTACTCACTATTAGTATAAATAGTACTCCATTCGTCCCATTTTACATGTCTTACTTTCCTTTTTGGGTTGTCTCAAAATAAGTGTCACTTTTTCCTTTCTATAAAGACATATGTGGTTCACAACATTTCACTTTACTCAAATCTCAACCACAACGTTTACCTTTTCAACCACTTTATTAAAAATCGTGCCAAAACCGAAGGAGACATATAAAATGGGACAAAGGTAGTAGCATTTATTCCATAATAAGGGGTTAGCATTTTGATACTCACACATATATACTTCACTCTAGCTCTTGTATAACCCACTAGGTCGTAACTGTCGTTCGGTCCTTGACTCCTTTCTCTGTAATCGTTATAATTACGATAATGCAATTGGAGCTGTTAAGTGATTTGATTTACTGATCTCTCACCTAATTGATAAACACGTCTGATATTCAAAGGTTTGTGTTGAACCTTTGGATCTACCGGAATTAACCTCAACAATACATATATCAAATTATTTAATCTTGATCCAACAATGGTTATTGATACAAGGCGACACCATTGCACATGCTTTGAAAAGTCCAAATCTATTGGACTCTCTACATCTATGTGATGTGTCTTCACATGCTTACATGAAGAAGTTTTATTTAAAAAAACTACATTTTTAACGGATTCTTCCCTAATGGCTGAAAAATTCTTCTCTAATTTTTGCAACTTCGAACTTCCCCTCGAATTAAGAAGCCATATGCAGATAATACGATTGGTTTTGTTAGGGACTTGGGGCCTATTATTGAATATGTCATATCACTTCAAACGGCTTAAGAGTTTGTTGGTAATTTGAATTTATCCAATACTTTTTGGTAATTTTCTTTTTGTTCGTGTAGTGTTTGCAATTCCTTTACATTGCTGACGGCTTTTATTTTGAGTAATGCGGACCACCGAGCACCAACTAAACAAGCTACTCAAGGTCATTGACCCTTCTTTAACATTTCTCGAGACCATCTCCTTATATGTGAAAATGATTTTTTCGACAAAACATGTGAAATTATGTTGGACCGATATGGGCTTTTTGTGTTTATATTAGTTAGCTATTAATATTGTAATTAGCTCTAATTTAATTTGCATGGGCCGTGTAACCTAGGGCTTGCATGAAATGTATATATACTCTAATTCTTATCAATGAAAGGCAAGGGGAATTAATTTCCATATTATTTGAATCACAAATTTAATATGGTATCAGAGCCCTTTGTGGTAATACCATTTTACTCCGAGTAACTTCTTCTTCTTCGGATGAAGGCGTCACCAGCGTGAAGAGCACGGTCAACATGGGAGATGAAGCTTCTGCGAAAATTGAGCCAAATTCACCATATTATCTAGGTTCTGGGGATCAACCTGGTAATCTTATTACTCATATTATTCTGAAGGGAGATAACTATGTGAACTGGTCAAGGGCAATTACACTTTCGTTGAAAGCACGTCGGAAATTCGGATTTGTGGATGGCACTATTCTGAAACCGACCGAGGCGGGGAGGCTACTAGAATGGGAAACAAACAATTTGATGGTTGTTTCTTGGTTGCTTCGTAGCATGGATTCAACCGTTGTTGTTTCAATCCCGTTTCACAATGAGGCTAAATCTTCGTGGAAGTATCTCGAAAAACGATTTAGCGAGGCTAATGGACCAAGACTCCAGCAACACAAGGCCTCGATCACCGGTTGTAGGCAGTCCAAATCGATGAGGGTTGATGAATATTATACCCAATTAATGGCGCTATATGATGAACTTTATCGATTAAAACCACTTCACGCTTGTACGTGTGGTTTGTGCACTTGCAACGTGGTGGGAAAATTTGTCACCGATAGGTAGGAGGAACAATTGCATCAATTCTTGATTGGAATAGATGATGAGGTGTACGGAACGGGGTGCGGTCCAATTTATTGTCCTAGAATCCGCTGTCGGACATCAACCGCGCGCATCAAAGCTTTCTCCTAGAAGAAATGTCAAGGGTTGTGGCTCGTGGCAAGAGTGTTGCATCAAATAACTATGTGTTTTCCCTGTTGGTCGAGCTGCCTAAGGGAAGAGCATATAAACAAGAACGGACCAAGCTACGGTGTACGCATTGCAAACAGCAATGCCACGAAGTGGGAAACTGCTTCAAGCTTCACGGATATCTCGAGTGGTGGGAAGACCGAAACCGGGCCAAGGGGACTCTAGGAACACCTGCTGCGCGTGGAGGAGAGACTCGTGCGCACACTGTGGCACCGATTCTGGCCCCAGCCGACTCGGGAAGCAGCAGCTCTGGTCTTGATTCAGGGTGTTTGTGGGGTTTGAACAAGGAACATGTGCAGGCTATTTTAAATATTCTTAACCCCGAAACTAGCTCCACTGAACGCATGAAGGGTAAGAATAAATACTTGGATTGGATACTTGATACTGGGGCGTCCCATCATGTTACCGGTGAATTATCTAGAGTCGTCGAGGTTACTCCCATTCAGGAATGTTCGGTTGGATTGCCGGACGGACGAAATGTGGTTGCTAATTTGGAAGGGCGAGTGCCTATTTCCAAATACTTTACTCTTGATCGTGTTTTATATGTACCGGGACTGCGATGCCATCTTATTTCTATTTCACAATTAGCTGATCAGTTAAAATGTGTTGTTACTTTCAATGATTCAATTTGTGCTATACAGGACCTATGCTCGAGAAACCTGATTGGAGCCGGTGAACGACGAGATGGGCTCTTCTATTTTTGTGGATCTTCTACAGTGCACGCCGTTGCTGTGAAGCCTTTGACAGAGTTTGAATTATGGCATCGACGGTTGCGCCACCCTTCAGATCGTGTCATCAAATTACTTCCTGCTATTAGTGCTAGTTTTTCTGTCAAGAAACTGAATAAAGCTTGTGAGGTGTGTCCGCAAGCTAAGCATGTTCGTGGTTCCTTTCCTAGTAGTGAAAATAAAGCTACTGGTATTTTGGATTTAATCCACTGTCATTTATGGGGGCCTTACAAAAACCCCTCTACGTGTGATGCAATTTATTTTGTAATTGTTTTTTTAAAAAAAGTTAAAATGTAGACATTGGGTAAAAGTTTTTAATCACTGTTCTAAAAATCGTTCTAGGCGTCCGACTAGTCCCCGCCTAGGCGCTAGGCGGTGGTCGGGCGCCCCGATTTTCGTCTAGGCACTCCGACTAATTGGTTAGCCGTCTAGGTGAATTAGTCGGCCGCCTATGGAGCCTAGTTGCCCGCCTAGAGCGCCTAATCGGTCGCCTAGGCCGTCTAGATTTGTCAAACATTACTTTACTTTTTAATTTTAATTTTCTAAGTGATATACGTACTTTAGCTTTGGCCATAGATATAAAGAAATGAAGTTGTAGATTAAGATAAAACTACATATGTTTCTATATATACCTAAATTTCATCATTATTTATATTTATAACATAATGAAGTTAAGTGATTAGCTATCATATACTTCTGATTACATGTGATAATTATATCATTCATGTTTGTGCAATACATAGAAAATACAATATTACTTATCATGTTTATGAAAAAATGTAGATAAAAATGCAATTTCTTTGTCTCCGACTAGTCTCCACCTAGCCTCCTAGGCGCTAGGCGCTGGGCTGACGCCGACTAGCGCCCAGTGTCTTTTAGAACATTGTTTTTAATAAAATAAACTTTTATTTGGCACTGTTATTGGGTAATGTAACTAATTATATATGGTCCATATGTGTGCGCATGTGCATGCGTGTACACAAACTTGAGTATACATACATATCTATTTTAGTGGTTATGTTAAAATTTGTGTGTGTATTTATTTATATCATTATGGGGTAGTACATGATTACATTAATAAATAATAAGTTAGCACTGTTATGTCATGATTTTAATTTATCCATTATATCAATTATGTTGAACTTTTTAAGCTCCTGTTTAATTTTTTAATGCCTTAAACAATCTATAGACGGTCCATAAACCCCATTTTAATTATTAAAGTAATTGTGAGAGCTCATTTGGTAGAACGAGAATCGGCTGTTTTGGCTGATTCTTCTGAAATTTATGAAGTTTTGACTAAAGTGACTGCATTGGCTGATTCTGTTGATTTAGGAAAAAAATATTTTAAAATTTATTTTATTAATCAAGTCTTGTGTTAGTGTCTGTTGTCCGGAAGCTCTTGTTTTTGAATAATAGTCATCGTGATTCATGAACTTGAGACATACTGCTTACTACTAAAAAAAAAATTATTTTATTAATAAAATAAAGAAAAAATTATATGTAGAAATAGTTAAAATGATCGTGTACAGTAACTTCAGCCAATACAACCCAAAAAGTAACTCCAATTTAGTTTTTCTGTTTATTAGTTAAGACACAATTCAGCGCACGAAAGCAAAAGTTACGTGTTTGGTAAAAAAGTTGATTGATAAGTTTGATAAGCCAAAAAACAGTGCTGCCAAACGGCCTCCGAGATGTGTTATATGTAATTATGGATGTCCATTAGTTCATAGTCCGGGCCCATACGTACAGACACATCTGATTATTGTAATACTAGCTCCCTTCATCTCATTTTTTCTCTTTATCAGGTTCACTGGTTCATTACACGTTATCAGCACCAAAGCTTTGATCACACTTTATAGGGTTGTAAATGAACCGAATCGAGTCGAATAATGAGATTTTGTATATGTATTTGTTTAATTTTTTCGAATTCGAATTCAAATATGAAACGAATATTAATTTAGATTTGTATTTGTATTTGTTTAACAATATGAATAGTTAACGAATCATATACGAATATTGAATCGATTTCAACACAGGTTAAATATTAGGCAAATACTATCTATCACTTTAAAACAATTTTTCTTATACTGCGTATTGTTTATGTTGTAAATGCATGCTATGGCTTAATATGTGTTCTTAAAACTTAAATTTAATGGATCAATGCATTTTTAGATGGTGCACAATATACTAAAGTGAATTAATTTTATGACTAATAAATATAAATCTTTTTTAAACTTTTTGAAATAAACACTAACACACACATATTAGAAATTATACTTATAATGTGTGAAATAAGTTGATAATTGTATATATCAAAGTCAAACAACTCTAACTTTATTTTTCAAATCGAATACATAATTATTTGTATTGTATTTGTAAGACATTTGAACCAAAAAATTGATCCGTATTCGTAGATATATTCTAGTTTATTACAAATGGATTTGGGATCTGTATGCAAAAATGTATATGTGGACTACACTTTGAGGGTATTGCTATCTTTTAAAAATTATTATAGTGTTATTAGTTATTACTATTAGTCTATTATTAATATTGATATTAATATTACCATTATTATTAATTGAATACACTGATATTCTTATTTGTATTTGATAACAACTCGAATCAAATTTATTATTCTTATTTGTATTTGTATTTTCCGGACTCGAATCGTCCTATACGAATTCGAATCGCGAATCGAGCATAAATTATTTGATTCGTTTACAACCCTAGGCCATGGTTAGCCTTCCTCAATTGCTAGAAGACAAGATGATTTCGGTACCCAACGCTATCACGTTGTAATCTTGATCGCACCGTTGAAGCAATATATGTCCATCGTTGTCGTTCATCAAGATCTTCGTCAGTCTCTGCGCGTGAAATTACTATTCATGAATCACAAGGGTGAAAAGCTAATTTGTCATTCATCAAGATCTTCGTCAACCTCTGCGCGTGAAATTAATATTTATGCATCCCAAGGGTGAAAAGCTAATTTGCAGAAACGATGGTGGAGTTGACTTTTGAGTCGTAACAATGAACAGGTGATTGTTGCGACTTGCGAGGGGATCTACTGATCTAGAGATATTGATTTATTGAGCGATCAAGTGAATAGAGACAGTTAAGTAAGTGGATAATGTTTCTATTCAATTCAATTTTCCCGATTGTTCAGTCTTTTCTCCAAACATGGCTACTACTATTATTAAGGGCTGAATTTAAGAAATATGCTTGCCAAACCATACTCAGACCAAATTCCCACAATTAAAAAGACTTGACCAAAGACTTATCACACCAAACCAAATTTAAAATGGGAAACTATCAAATAAGCCCACGTACTATGCCGAAAAAGTAGATTAGGCCCTCGTACTTTACAAACACTCAATTAAGTACTCGAACTATTAAAAAACGTTCAATTAAGCCCTTTTGGTCGGTAAGTAATCGGTTTCTCGGTTAAACGGCGACGACGGCGACGATGTGCTCGAACCCCAGCAACGGCGGCTGCCGAGAAACGGATTACATTTAACCGGAAAACCGGTTACTTACCGACCGAAAGAGCTTAATTGAACGTTTTTTAATAGTTCGGGAACTTAATTGAGTGTTTGCAAAATACGAGAGCCTAATCGACTTTTTTGGTATAGTACGGGGCTTATTTGATAGTTTTCCCAATTTAAAAAGATCATATCAAATCTAAACACATCTCAAGACTAAGATGTTGTTATACTCCGTATTACTATTAGTTGAAAAAAAATCTTAATCTTAAAGAAATAAAAATTGTGGAGGCAATTACGTTTTAGAGTTCTTTCGAAACAATCGAACAGCTGCAGTTGAACATGGTGCTGAATTTGTTCTCTTTTCTCTTTAACCTTTTCTATTTCTAAAGTCAACAGTGTATTTCAGTTCTTGTGAGTTGTGGCACTGGATAGATTTTATGTCACACTATCTCCGCAAGCTTGATTCACGAGGATTTCAAGTTAGTTTTTATGTTATTAAAAAATACGTTCATGTGAATGAAAATGAGGCGATAGTCAGAACTAGAATATACTCCGCAAGTGAAAAAAATTGAACCACATTAGGCATTACAAATACTCCGTATGACCGGAAAAATTGAACCACATTGAAAATGAGAGGATTTCAGAGACTGGAAATTTCATTCAATGAGTTCTATCACATTCCTTAGCTACAGAAAGAATTTAACTTCACATGCAACAGAGTATATATCATTTTTCATTAGGTCTGTTACTTATAGCAACCTTTTATGAAATATTTCCTTGAGATGCAACGAAATATAGCCATATGAACACGGAGCACAAAAAAGCCAAAACAAAACCATGATTAATGTCAACTTCCATAACCAAATAAGCACAAGGGAAATACGATTTTGTAAATCTAAACCTTGTTAATGGGATCAAGCAGATTGTCGACTACAGCACTAGAGCAATCCCAAGACAATTCAATTGGAGGGGTATCAAATGATTGAAAACCATAGCGAATAATAAGCCACGATGTACTTGAATTAGCTAATTATTCTTGGATTACAATTAATTAGGTGAAATGTAATAAGAACACCACAGCAAAGCAATGTAACCAACTAACAATCTTAAAACTTATTTAACACATAGGCGGGTATACCAAAGTGCTCAAACGAAAGCAGAACAATTAGATGGAAGGGGATTCAAACAAACACAAACGGTAAAACGACGGACGAAGATGACGAGAAAGAGGATAGTCGGATAGAAGAACACTAGACCAGAGAGATCTAAGAAAGTTGACCGCAGTCAGCAATCACCACATCCTTAGATGTTGTTCCGCCTGCGGATCCAACTTTCTCCACCGCCTTGATCACATCATAGCCTTCCACGACCTGTCCAAACACCACGTGCTTACCATCGAGCCACTCGGTCTTCGCGGTGCAGATGAAAAACTGAGATCCGTTGGTGCCTGGCCCCGCATTCGCCATAGAGAGGATGCCGGGTCCGGTGTGCTTCTTAATAAAGTTCTCGTCTGCAAACTTCTCCCCGTAGATGGACTCACCTCCGGTTCCGTTTCCCTTTGTGAAGTCACCGCCCTGACACATGAACTTGGGGATCACGCGGTGGAATTTTGAGCCCTTGAAGTGCAGCGGCACGCCGGATTTCCCGACTCCTTTCTCTCCGGTGCAGAGAGCGCGGAAATTCTCGGCCGTCTTTGGAGTGACATCGTTGAAGAGCTCCATCACGACACGGTTGGCCTTTTGGCCATTGATTTCGACCGGTTTGCCACCGATGGTGATGTCGAAGAACACTTTGGGATTCGCCATTACTTTCTCTAAACCTTTCAGCGTCTGCTAATACTCGGGATCTAGGGTTTACAGTGAGGAAGGGGTTGTGCGGCTATATAGCGAACTTCGACGGGGCGTCACGTGCAGGGAATCAATCTTGGCCGTTAATCACAGCACGTGGCAAAAGCAAGGAGGTTGATAGATGCCTTGTGTGGTTAGATCTGAGGATAGTCGGTTAGTGAGGCTTGACCGCGGTTAGATCTGCGATATTGAAGACGGATCGCGTGGGATATGCTTTTAGGATGCACTCAATGAACTGGCCCATTTTCAACCGGGCCCCCATTCATTAGATGAATTTTATTTTATTTTACGGATGTTTTGACTAGGATCATTCCTTCGTTAAACCAATTTTATTAGAACTAATTTTACTTTTGTTTCTACGAGTTTTGTGTCAATTTTAGTTCACATCTTTCACTTTGTCCATTTTTTATACTTGACTAATATTTTTTTAATCGTTTGTGGTCCTTTTCCGACGATTTTAATCATCAGAAACAGTGCTGAAAGGATCATATATGGCAAAAACACGATAGCCATGTATCAAAAGTGGACAAAGTGAAAGATGTTGACCAAATGTGGAATTGAACTAAAACTCGTAGGACCAAAAGTGGAATTTATTCAATTTTATTATACGAAATTGTCTTAAGTGTATGTAAAAATGTTTATGAATTTCAAACTATCGCTATTATGTTTCTATTAACTATTAAAGTAATTATTGTCATTTTTAATATTATGAGATTTTAAAAAATGATAATACTTTTTAAATTGAGTAGTAATTAATATTTTTAAGAAATAAAAATATTACAATCCTATTTCTCATTATTGGGTTCTTCTCTTTCAAAAAAAATATACTCCGTAGGATTTTTCTTTTGGAATAATGATGGAAATGCTACCATGGGCTTTATTGTGGATAAAAATAAGACATGTTTTGAAATTAGGAAAAAAAACAGACTTAAAATTAACAAATGGACTCAAATGCCCTTGATTAACATATCCCTCCATCATTTCCAAATTTGGGTTCCAGCAGCGCACCTCCATCGAATAGAGCCACATCGAACAATGCCACAGTTGCATCTCCATCTCCGCAAGTCATCCACACCTCCATCACCACAAGCCACAGTCGTGCCTCCATCATGGCATCGCACCGTGACCGTTCGACCTCTTGCCTCCACCACCAAACTTTCTTCTCCTCCTCTCTGAATTTTTGCACAGCAGTGGAGAACTCTACAAGAAACCTATTAATACTTTTATGACGGTAAGTTCCCAGGTATTTAACTGGAAGGAAAGTTCTTTTCATTTTCACAATTCTTTCCATATTGCTAATCATGAGTGAAGAAGTGTTGCCACAGATTGGGAAATTTAATGCTTAAAACAAATAAACTTTTATTTTATGATTAATTTATTTTTTACTTAGTCCACACACAAAATAATGCTTATATAAATGACTTCAAATGTTAATAGCAGCTTATACATAAATACAAATGTGGTTTAACACAAATGTGGCTTATACATAAATACACATGTGCTTATACCAAGGAATAATCCTTCTTTTATTTGGTGGAGCCTGATTCATACTCATAATATTATTCGGGAAGGATATTTCTGGAGAGTGGGAGATGGTCATTCCATAAACATTTGGGAGGAGCCATGGTTACCGAATAGTGAAAATCTGAGGATTGAAACGGAGAAGCTTGAAGGACTGGATGAGGCCGTGGTGGCTAATTTATTTGATTCTTCTCTTCAGGATTGGGATGTGGTTGCAGATATTTTTGGAGATAGAGATGCGGCCATTATTCGTGGAATACCTCTTAGCAGAAGTCTGGTTAAGGATTCAGTGTGTTAGAGATGGGAGGAGAGTGGTGTTTTTTCGGTGCGTAGTTGCTACAGAAATATGGTGGCGGACTTTGGAGGGCAGCAGATTATGGAGTGGACTAATATGTGGAAGGTCAGACTTCCTCCTAAAATTAAAATGTTTTTTTTGGCAGGTTTGTAGTGGATGCCTTCGATTGAGGCAAAATTTGCAGGTTCAACGACTGGACTGTCCGGGGCACTGTGGACTATGCGAGGCAGATGTGGAGTCATCGGAGCATTTGTTTCGTCGTTGTGCTGTAGCCCAGGAGTTACGGAGGCAGGTCGGCTGGTAGTGGTCAGTGGGGGATAATTTCCCTTTTGCAGAACAGATTAGCATTGAATTCATAAGGAAGAAACAAGAAGATGTGGAGGTTTTAATGTGGGGCAGCTGGGCTCTCTGGAACGAACGAAACCTGCAGGTTTGGGAAGGACAAAACTCGGCGATGCAGCAGGTTATAATTAAAGCCAGAGCTACGGTTGATGGCTGGAAACAAGTGCAAAACAGATACGCAGAAGGAAGACGGAAGCGGGCTGGAGGGACGGGCAACACTTCTTGGAGCAGGCCTGCTCGTGCTTTTGGAAACTCAACGTAGATTGTCACGCCCAGACCGCATCTGAGTGTGTGTACAACCGCCGTATGACCAAATGACGTCACTCGCAAGTCAACGTAACTTAGTCACACAAGGCGTCCATGAACATAGTCCATACCATACTCAGTCAGTAAACATACATAGCAACATCACATATTTGGATTGAACAAACAGCGGAAATATTCAATATTCAATCATGAGCCACACATGGCCAAGACGTAGGCACGCAGGCCCAAAACAAATGTACTTATTACAAAGTATCCATGAGCATAGTTTATAGTTTAAAACAGTAAAGGAAGCACGAACCACGTCTTCCTTTAGATCACTTCACCGAGCAAGGTGAGACTATCGAGCTTGAGCTTCAACCTGAAATGGTGGGCCCCCCCGAAGGGGTCAGTACAAGTACTGAGCGAGTAGCAGGCTAAATGTAGAATAACTAACGTTTCAAGTATAAGACCCAAACATAGGGTGATACATATACGTACACTTCTTCCCCAAGTTATGAAACAAATATTAGTATACATTTACTTGGAAATACCCCGACCCGTAGGTCATTGTTTATTTGGAAAAACAGTATAGCCAATATTCTTGACTTAAACCCCAACCCACCCATATACCCATGAGTGTATAGAACTCCTCATGGTTCAAATCATCTAAACATGAGGACACCGCCTGGTCCTAAATTACAAAACAGTAATTTAATAGTAATCTATGAGTTTTGAGGATACACGCCTGATCCTTGGGTACTCCACCCTCTAACCGAGTTTTGAGGATACACGCCCGATCCTTGGGTACTCCACCCTCTAACCGAGTTTTGAGGATAACCGCCCGTCCCTGGGTACTCCAACCTATAACTGAGTTTTGAGGATAACCGCCCGATCCTTGGGTACTCCACCCTATGTAACCGAGTTTTGAGGATAACCGCCCGATCCTTGGGTACTCCACCCTATATAACCGAGTTTTGAGG